ATGCTGTTTTTTTCAGAAAACTTCTCTTAAGCTATGAATGTGATTTCAAAACATTTCAAAGTGAGTTTATATTATGTTTGATTTGTTAAATCATTAAAACGCCTGTTTTTTACATGTGGAAGAAGGTGGGGAAATTTTAATTTGAAAAAAATGTAATTCCTGATAACTAAGATTAATAGTATTTCTGACTATCTATCTATTTCTGAATTTCTACTATCTGACCAAGAAAAGTTAGAGAAGATGAACAAGGCAACTAGAAAAATTCTATTGGCACCAAGAATGTTAATAAATACGTTCATGTTTAAGTTATTTCAGAGGACTATTAATAAAATACATTGTATAGATAAAATAAGGCTCTAATGCAGTGCCTTTTTTCATAAAATCAAGTAAATATTATATTTTATAGTTTTGTTATTAAATGTATTAATATGTGATCAATAATGTTTATTATATAAGCATAAAATATTATTTTTTAAGAGGGTTATATATATCAGGAAGATTCGAAGGAAACATACATTGTGTATTACATATACATATTTTATTATTTTTTAAAATTTATTAAATTAAAAGGCAAGTAAATATAAAGTGTTTTAATTACAATATTGTAATAATTTACATTTTGATAGTGATAAGACTTACTAAATATCAGAGCAGTCAATTTACAATTAACCCGCTACAAGAACATAAAATATAAATATTATGAAAGAAGACAAGATTGGTAATAAAAGTTGCTAGAAAGTAAGATATTATCTTCCTTCATTCTACATAAATCATAGCGTGGTACCTTTCTTGATTTTATTTGTTATGTCAGACATAATGTTTACGTGCCGCCTAAAATTAAAATAGATAAATAGAAACCTACATATTTAGTTATAATTTAAAAATCACCAGTGGTAGCTGCACAGCTTAAAAATTTAGTTCCCTTCACTTTCTGTACACTTTTACCATTGCAGTCACATGATGTTCAGGTGTACTTTTTGTTTGATTGTACAGAAGCCCCCTTTTTATTGAACGTATCCGATCGAACGTTATCATTATGATTCAAGAAAAAAAAATCTCACCTTGATATTTTAACTTCTTAACACTTAAGTATTTTAAATTGTCTACATAAAAACTGTCCACCATATACTCCGTCACCATTCGAAAATGATCCGAAAAAGTTTTTTCATTGTTTTGAGCCATTTAGATAAAATTAAAAGTTATAACCAAGAAAATTTACTGCTGAACTGAAAAGCACGAAGAAAAATAATAACAAAATCCAAAATGGCTGCGCCCGATACGCATGAGCCAGGCAATCAGTCATACCAACATATGATATGAAACTTCCCTTTCTACGATCTGAAACGTGATTGGTTAAGGCTATGTACGTCACAACTCAACCGGGAATGTTCAAGTTTGAAATTATAATTTAATTTCTAAAATAATATCATGAATTTTTTTCCTAATTTCCTATGTATTGTAAGTGATGAAGACTTAATCTATGCAATGCAATGATTTATTTGCGAATTTATATTTTTTTTGGAACATGCCCATTGTAGCATACTCTAATATATTTAATAAAAAAAAACTTAGTCTAAGCTGGAAGATAAATTTACAAAACAAAAAAAATTGTGTGTGCACTATGCGCGCATATTAGATGTGAAACTTCTTATCAACAACTATTAAATTAGAGGATTTACAAATTACTTATTAACATGTTTAGTTATAAGTTATAATAATAATATGCTGTTTTAATACAAATGTTCAATTTATTTCTATAATTTGTAGATTTTCTGTTTCCTCAATAGCCTGCAAATTTTGTGAAGTACCACCAAAAATACACACTTTTATGCCAATGCCTAATAATGCTAACGCTTAAATTTATTTAAGAAGAGAAAAAAATTTGAACCTAACTTCATCGGCCGGATAGCAGCTGTGGCCATTAGGCCAATAGTCTACCTAACTTCGTATTTATAGTGGTTTACAGTAATTTTGTCAGATTATACGAATATTCTCGTTGATTATTGGTTTGAAATAAATATGACGACGTCCTCCAATAAAAATGCGAGTTGCTTAACTCTGATAATTCTAATTCTGAGCTAGCAAATGACCTAATTGTTTTACCTAGACCATTATTCAGAAGCCACAAACCTATCATGAAAATATGCATGAAAATTTTCTTCCTAGCACACAACCAGGGGATATTGGTACCCAGGTAACAGTATTAAGTTTATTATAATGCTTTTCTTAGCTATAAATCAATTGTTTTTTTGGTGTTTGCGCGATACTTATCACTTTTTTTTTCTTGCTAGCTCGTGCGTCAAGACCGTGGTGTCATGTCGTGTTAGGTTAGGTTAGGTTAGATTGTTCCAAAAGTGTTTTTTACTAGTAAAACAAATTTGCCTAACCGACAAAAAATGCTTAACGTTTCACTATATCGCCTCGCATCGTCAGGCAAAAAAAAAGAAAAAAAAACTATTTAAATGTCTAAATGGAACATTCAGAGGACATCTGATTTTGTAGTAGGTAGGTCGATTATAAATAACTGTAGTTAAATACAACGCCGTTATTTTTACAAAAAAAATATTTATTTTGTAGATTACTATAATAATCTGTAAAGACTCAAACTTTTTTCAAGAACTGAAACCCCCACACAGGTATGGATATGGTTTTATTACTCAAAATCGGCTTTTCCAAAATTGTTTGGATTTGACATGTGTATTTTCCATAAGTAGACCTTTAAAAATATATTTGCGACTTTACAGTAAAATTAATAGGAGTGGCAATAATTGGATAATTAAAAATTTATATGGATTTCTTGTTTCCAGGACGATGCACAACTCGTTATAAGTATTTATACATAAGCAAGCTTTAGATTGGTTACTGCTGTTGCGAGTATATTCATGTATTAGAGAGGAAATTGAATATATTCAAAACATACATTTGTAATTAAATCATAAAAAATATAGTCCTCATTTAAAAAGAACGTAGGTAATCAATCATCGAAGCTAAGCAACAGTATGCGCGGACATAATAGTAGATATGGGTGACCAAATATTTTTCTTTGTAGATTTTTTTTTTAATTTTACTAATTTGTACAAAAGAGAAAAATTTGAGAGCCTTATATTTTTAATTAAATCTCAGAAAACACGGTCATTATGCAAGGAATGCCGGCGGGGGTCCAAATTTTGGATTGTGTTAGCCGTCTATCTGGGGTGTCGTATGAAAGGGCTTTATTGGCACAAGAATGAAAATAAAACTGTTGTATGTACCTAAAAATTTATACGGAACTTTAGGTGGGCGAGTACGACTCGCACTTGTCCGTTTTTTTAATAACACTAAGTTAGACCATTGGGATATATATTTTTTATTAAGTTTCTTTTTATTAATTTTTTGGCTTAAAAGTATACCGGTGCGTCTCAAAAGTGGCTCACCCCTATAACTTTTTATTTTTCAGATGAAAAAACGAGATTTGGTGTGTTAGTATATGACATAATCACTACCTGTTTTACCGGAAATGACTACAACTTTTGATTTTTAAATGGCACCCTCAGTGAGTGAGAGAGAGAGATATTAGTTTATAGAGCGCGTCAACATCAGCGAGGGTTTTTAGCGCTCAATAATAAGCTTTAGTTAATATGAGGTTATTTTAAATTATTAAAAATTTTTTTTTTTTCGTTATGTTGATGCTCTCTAAGAATTCCATAACTTTATAAATCTTCGAAATGATAAAAGGCGCGAAAATATTCTCAGCATTAACTCATCAGATAACAGCATTAAATAATCTAGACCTATGGGAGGCAACAGGTAAGCATTCAAAAAAAATGTGTCTCATTGACATTAAGTTATTGCATAAGGTGCATTTCGGAGGGGGTTCATTTCTGATAATATATAATTTAGTAAGGTATAAGTGTCCTGTGAGGGTTTTAACAACTTTCACCCTCAGTATATTTTTACTTTGTTCAATATAAAATGACACTCTAGATAGAATGACATATCATATGTCAACTTTTGACATTTTTGCATTTTGTTTATTTGAAATTGTAACATGCGTTTCATTTCCAAACCAAACCAAACCAAACCAAACGACTCGAAATACCAAGTGAGTGGCACTAACTATCGGTACTAAATTATCGTAGAAAAATGCTTTTTCCAATTATGCGAATGAGCTACCTTTGTTCCATTTGAAAAAAAATGAGATATGATTAAATATATGATTTGGGCATCTTTTAACCGGCCAGGACAAGACACGAAAAACATTATCAAAACCATTTTTCCAATGCTCCTTGATTAAAAATGAGCAATACCAACCTAATCAACTCTAGATTGAAATTTAAAATACGATTTTTTAAGGAAAAAATGTCAAAAGTTGACATATATCATACTATTCAGAGTGACATTTTCTACTGAGTAGTGTAAAAAATTACCAAGGATGTCACTTAAAAATCAAAATTTTTTAGTTATTTCCGGTGAAACAGGAAGTGACCAAAAACAATTGAATACGTTGGTAAAAACATTTTACATACCAAATCTCGTTCTTTTATCTAAAAAAAATAGAAAAGTTGTAGAGGTGGGCCACTTTTGAGACACACCCGGTATTTGTGAGAGTAAGCAATTGATATGTAAAACCACCTACGTACTGTTAATTTAGAATAGTGTAATTTTTGCTAAATACATTAAAAAATGTAACGCTTCAACGAAAAAAAAAAGCGTTTTTTTTCTGCGAATTAAAACAAGTCAAATATAATTGCAGTTCAAACGACATGAATAATTCTATTAATTTATTGTTTGAAATTCATACACTATACGCATGAAAATCTGTTTTCAGATAAAAAATCGACATATTTTTTTCTCTGTGGTCCAATTCTTACAATTTATAGCATTTTTCTCTGATGAAAATTTATTTTTAATGGAAAAAACCTCGATGCCAAAACAACCATCCCTTATTCAACTTTTGTGTTTCCGTGAACTTTGCTCTAAAGCAACTTTTTTTTATAACACATTCGCCAAAACAACAAAAGAAAAAGGAAAAAATGAAAATCCATCCAGGGAAAATTATGAAACATGGGCACTTAATATTTTTCTTTTGACAAATTCGAATTTCCATATCACTTCTTGTTTTGGCAGTGCGAGCTTGTACGTGAAAAAGGCCGGAACGGAAAATAGAAGCCAACGAGGTGAATTGAAAACCAAGTTATTTCAAAGTTAAAGTGTTTTCCTCTTTTGGAAATCCGCGAGGCATTTTCCATTTTTGCGGTTTAAATGTAAGATATGAAAAAAATAAGCCTTTCTGAAGTTGGAGCAAGGTTGATCTTGGCAACAATAGCTGAATTATTTCCAGGTTTTGGATTCTAAATATTTTTGACTTATGATATTTCCTGATCTGGTATGATTCTCGTATAACGCGAATATATTTACTGAAGTAGGAAAAATAAAAATTCCTTTTTCATACCGGGAAAAGAGAAGTAAAAATATCAAGTTTCAAATAATAGTGATTGGTTGTGCTTTTCTAGAAATTAACTCTACAGGGATATTCTTTCAAAACTGAAATTGACAGTGACATTGTTGCGAATACCAGAAAGGTTGTAAAATAGTTAGTTATGCAGCGTGGGGTAAAGCGTGGTCAAAAGTCGAGAAAAATAAGAAAATGATATTTACTGGTAATTATACAGGGTTGTTCACCACATACGACACGGAGTATTATAACTAAACGAAGTTTTGGGTTCGTTGAAGGACTATTAGAGCTACAATTTAAAAATATTTAACAAGATACAGACTACAAATAAATAAAAAATATTAAAGTTGTAATTATTTAAATGAAACACCCTGTATATTATTACATTTTTAGTTTCTACGATGAAAATAAACGTACATTTGATTATGGTTTATTACACTTAAACCTTACCGTTTTTGAAACATTTTCAATTTTGAGAAATTGCAGTAAAAATTATAAGGCTTTTCATTTCTTCAAGGGTATCAAAGTTCTTAATACTGAATATTTTTTCGTAGAAAATGCATTTCCTTATAATTTAGACCCCATTTATCAATATACCGATTGAATATTGACATTTTATATTGTTTTTAAACTAAAAAATGTACAAAATGTACAGGTGCTAAAAACAATAATATTATTAACCCATTTGTATACAAAAAGAAAACTCTTTAAAAAGCCCTCTTTAACTCTCGCCCAAATATTAATTAATAGCATACTTAATTGTGTTAGTTAATAAATTATTCTAAATTATTGTGGATTTGAATCAGAAATCAATATAATAATATGTTATGAAAATGAACGTCCCTGTTGTTATAAATAAGCACTCGTCAAAAAATGGAAATAAAATTTATTAGGTGTTACTTTTTAGCACACTGTCTAACACACATACAAAATTCAGTTTTCAAGTATTTAGAGCAGTTATTATTAATTACAATTAACGTAGTTAAGTTGAATACTGGAATCATATTAATTAGTCCTTTTTAATATTTTAATTTTTATTTTTGTTATTAATTCTATGTTTAATACGAATAAATTTTCAATACAAAAACGCGGATTTTTCATGCAAAGATATTTTCGTCAAACTTATTAAAGTAATTTACATTTTAATATGGCAATACTGTCGCTTTCAGTTCCACACTGTCTTTGATATGCCTTCGCTGGCCGAATTAGAGAATATAAGTGTTTTATGCATTGACCGCAGGAGGATTGAGGAGCACTTCAGACGTAAGGAGAAATCAAATCAGCCTTGTCTCGAATTCGTCCATTAGGTTGGGTATCTTTCCAATTCTTTCAGTCAACGGTAATAGTCTGATATATTTGGTATTAAATGATAATTATTATACCTTATTTTTAGAAAAAAAACTCATATATTTTTTTAGTAAATTAAGGAACTGATATAACATTTATTCTCAACGTAAAACAAAAAAGAACTATAAACAATATTTAAAGAAAATAATTTCTTTACAAAAATTAAATTTAACTAAACTTAACGTTTATTTAAATTTTTTAAATACCAACCACATTTAAATACAAATAGGATTAAAGGGAAGAATTTTATAAAACCGTAATATAAAATTGCTCTCTATGAAACTTACCTATGCAGGAATTAAAAATATTTAAATTGCTTAGATCTTTTATTATGCTAATGTAGAAAGTATTAAAGGATTAACAATTTTAGACATAGATATGCAAATTTTTTGCAGTTTTAAACGTCAATTGTCCAACTTTATGCAATATTCCACATTTATTTTTTTTTATTCCACTTATATTAAAGTTCTTAAAAAATTCTATAACTAAATTGCATAGTTTTATGCCCAGAATTTAAATTTTTTGAAAAAAAAAATAAAATAACAATTTTAAAAAGGATATTAAAAAGTTTCAAAAAGAAATATAATTTTAATATGTGTGTAGTTTCAATTTATTTTTAGTATCAGCCCAGTGTACCACAAACATGTACAGGTTGTCCCATTTTGGTTGAAATCATACGGTATCTCCGTTATTAGTCAAGATAGGAGGGTGCGGTTTGCACCAACCTGTCCCATTTTTTTGTCAAACGGAAGATACTGTTAACAAAATTTTTGTAGAGGTTTTGTTTGAAAATTTTGAAATTTGGGGTATCTCTGTTAATGTAAAAAGTCTCGAGAAGACCAAAAGTGTTTATTGTAGAAATTTTTACGTAGAATAGAGTGGCGTAGTATGTTACTCTACGAAAATAATATTTTTGAAGATATGAACAAAAGCTATGTTTTCTTAAATAGAACCCTGCATATTTATGAATTATATGATTTGGCTTGTCATAAGTTCCTCAAAAATATATATTACACTATATTTATTTTCACTATTTACTGTAATACTTAAATATTTTCATTAAAAAATCATTTTTATTTTTTAATGATAATTTTTTTAATGATATTTAATTTTATTGATAATAAAAGAAGCTAAAGAATTAAAAGTATACTGCTATCTGTCTTTTGTTTTATTTTGGGAGCCACTAATAAATTCTTTATATGTAGCTATGTATATCATGAAAACTTAACATACTACCGCTATTTGTAAATCTTGGAAGCTATCGTACCGGAACATTTAGATATTCCTTTAGGTAACTTACGTGAAATATACTTTCAGCAAGATGAAATTCCCCCTCACAAGTTTTAAAATATTAGAATTTTGTTAAATGACTATTTCCCAAATCAAATGAACTGGGACACATGAGGCCAAACAATAGCCGCCCTGATCCCAGGATTTTTCCGTTCTCGATTTTTGTATTTAGGGGTTCTTGCTATAGTTTGCGTACATACCACGCCCACTTATGGCCTCTAAAATTGTACACAGTGCTTGACCGGCCCAGGGCCCGAATTCTGTAACTTTGACATAAAAACGTTACGCTTTCAAAGCGGTGAGCGAAAGTATGCGATAAGCGGAACGTCAAGCAGTCAATTTTGGTATTCTCGTTGCTGTGCGAATCGTTTTCTGGATACGCGTTGAGCACATATTGACAGCATTGTAATTTCGCAGGTATCTAATAGTCAAATGTGACTAAAACAATGAAAAATGTCAATGTTACGTGAATTTTATAACCTATTGTTGAGTTATGTCAACCTATTTTTCAATGGATATGTCATTATTCTTATTATACGAGGGAAATGTTGAAGACGCTTCACAGCATTTTCGATGTTTTGAACAATATTTATAGCTACCAACTTGTAATTTGTCGATTACTTATTTAGGAATTTATAGAACAAGTAGTAGTTTTCACTAAAGAGCAAGATAACGCACGAAATCACAATTTTTTCGATTTTCACTGACAGTTCGACAAGCAAAACGATCCTTTAAGGCAACCGTTTTCAAAGCGCTTAGCGCAATCAGTAGAGATGCTAAGCGCGTCAGACGAGAATACCCAAATCGTTAGTTAAGTGCGCGCTCAGCAAAAATTAACGTCATATACGCTGAGCGTCTAAAAGCGCTTAGCGTTTTCTAAGTTACAGAATTCGGGCCCAGTTATTACGTTGTTTAAACTCCAGTTTATTTTTGCGCACAGAAAATTTTACTCGTTTGCTCATCGTCACAAAAATACAATTTTCGTACCAAGAATTAGGGACAAGATTTTATCTGTATACATATAGTATATCCTAATCTGTGATACTAATAAGAAAATTATATCTTTTGAATATTGCAGTAAATAGTGAAAATAAATATAGAGTGTTATATATTTTTAAGAAGCTCATAGCAAGACGGATCATATGACTTATAAATATACAGGGTGTCATTTGAAGAAACATAACTTTAGTTCATATTTTCAAAAATATTTTTTTTGTAGAAAAGCAGCGAGAAAAATAGACTAAACCTATGTGTGTGTATTCTACGTAAAAGGTTCTACAAGAATCAGTTTTCACCTTCTAGATATCTTTCACAGTAACGAAGCTAAGGGAGCTGCCCTAACCAAACCAATTTTCGAAAAGACAGAAACGAAGAAGGATATAAAAATTTTGTTGATAGCATCTTCCGTTTGACAAAAAACTTGAACAGGTTTGTGCAAACCGCATCCGTGTGATTTCAACTAAAATGGGACACCCTGTACAAACTGGTTTCCCCCGATCATCAAAGTGAATCAACCTAAGACCAGATGTAGGTTTGGATAGGTGAATATCTAGAATATGCCATCATGTTTCTATGTGAAAAACACGGATGCACAAATATGTTAATATGCGATGTAAGTAAACACACTGGCGAAGTCAATAGGTCATTATACATATAAAGTCCAACAAGTTAGGGAAGATTTCGACAGACGACATCCGAAAAATCAGAAAAATACAATTTATCTGTGAATTAAAATGGCAGACATAGTTGTCACTGTCAAGTGCCCTCTCGTTGAACAGACTATAATTATTTCCAGTAGTCTTGACATCCAAAGGTCGGGTAGGTATTTATTTTTTAAAAGTACTTTTTTCATAATACAAACTTAAATTATTGATTAATACTAATAAGTAATTGAAATAATTAATACTTACCGACTATCGTCAAAAATACAGGGTGTCCAACGGGTGGAGTGGTGCTTATTTGACATTCGTATATACCAGAATCTTTCTTCTGTGGGTATCGTATTCTGAGAGTCCATTCTTCAGTGTGAGGAGTGTGGATAGCTTCGAAACGTTGATCAGACGTGTACGTATATCTACCTACTGTAAGAAGGTGTATGTCTCTATGACGCACCCAGGAAACCTGTAACAAGAGAAACAATTTGAAAATTATCTCATTCACAACATTTAAAAAATATAAAAATATATTTTATTTTCTGCTTCACTATTATTGCTAGAATAGCAAAGACATTAACCAATCAATAGCGCTCGTTAATTGTTTTATTCATATTATAATGCATTATAATCTTATAGATCCTACAACAAAAGATTTGAATAAAAAAGTCCTTAGACAATATGACAGATAAATCAGAAATTAAAAATTAAACCAAAAATTATAGTTATTACATTGAAAATTAAAAGATATTTAAATTATTATTAAATTGTTACCACATGTATGAATGTTAATACGAGTATATACTGATGATGTGACAAATACTCTATTTTTTATTTCTCCCCAGGATTTATCCCCCCCCTCCCCCATTTTGTTAATAATTAAGTTCAAATTAATATTTTTTTGCAGTTCAAAATAGTTTTAAAACGAAGTTTTGTATAATTTTATAGAGAATTACACAGATTACAGCAATTCATACCGTTTTCAGTATGTACTAAATTCCGAAGTTTGTCAAACCGCATTCAATTATTAACTTTAATTACTAAGTTTCTCGCCAAATCAATTAGATTACGTAGAGCAGAAAATTGGCATCTACCTCCCTATATGAGCATGTGAACTGTTAACTTGACAAATTACCTGAAACTTTCTACTCCCTTATGTAAAAAAATAAATGTATGTGTAAGATATTTCCGTAATTTTTTATATTTCTTTATATTTTACTTCCGATTCACTTTGACGTCATATGGGAAAGCGGATAGTGAATATATTTAAAAATAAGGGAAGTACACCAGATTGCGGAAACTACCGGGGAATTTTACTACTGTCTATCGGAGGAAAAGTTCTTGCAGAAACTATGTCAAACCGCCTGCACCCACAAACAGAAAACATTCTTCCGAAATCACAAACGGGCTTTCGTACCAACCGCGGTACCGTTGATTCCATATTCTCCGTCAGCCAACTAACAGAAAAAAGTAAAGGAGCAGCAGAGTAAATTTTATGTTGTATTGATTGACCTAACAAAAGCCTTTGACTCTGTAAACAGAGGGTCACTTTGGGCAATTATGCAAAAGTTCGGAGTACCCAACGAATGTCTTACAGTGTGTAAAAACCTCCATAACAACAAGTCAAGAGTGTCATATGGGCGATCCCTTCCTGACAAATACAGGAGTTAGGCAAGGATGTCAAGGATGTGTCTTAACGCCTCTCCTATTCAACATATTCAGGTCAGAGTTCTCTATTATAGTGGACACCAAACTGCAGGAAAGAGGAATGGACATTAGATACAGATACGATGGCGGTCTGTTTAACATAATAAGACTTAGGGCAAAAACACGTATACAATTTATCACATAACTTCAGTACGCTGATAACTGCGCTCCAGTTTCAAAAACGTTACAGCAATTACACGAAATGCTGAACATATATACCTGGACATACGAAGTTTTGGGCCTTAGGCTCAACATCGATAGAATAAAAATCGTATGCTATAAAAATTGGAGGACTATTGACTATGTAGCGGAATTCAGTTACCTCGGCACTTAAATTTCGGAAAAGGCTAAAATCGACTCTGAAATACAGCACAGAATTAGCAGCCCCTCAAGAGCCTTTTGTAAATTAAAAGACAGGGTTTTCTACAATCATGACTTGAGCACAAAAACGGAACATGCAATGTACAGAGCAATAATAATAATAATGTTATATGGAAGCGGAACCTGGGTGCCATGCCGCGCCGTGCCGCCGGCACATGGACGGATTAAGCTTGATTTTCAGACATCCGTTATACGTTGATACGTTGGTCCGACGGTGCTCTGATTGGTCATAGCGTTTTCGCGCCACTTTTTATCCGTAAATATTTTACTTCAACCCGTCAACGTACCCGTTCATACGATAACGGGCGTTTTGACACTTTTTTGACAAATTTAATCTAACCTTAATAAAAATAGAAGTAAAATAGCAAAATCGTTATGAATACGAAAATATAAAATGACACGAACGTATATCCGACAAACGGAGGCATGAAAATGCAATAAATTTAAAAACTGCGTTATTTTCTAACCAATCAAAGTTTTTAAATTCTACCAATAAAATTAATATCGTATCAATGTATCGTCGGACAACGGATGCATGAAAATCAAGCTTTAAATATGTTGCAATAGAGACACCTTAGACAGTTGTTAATAATCAAATTGAACCACCATGTCTCAAACGTATCGGTCCTTGAAAAAACTAGCTGAAAGAGCGCTGAAATCATGATTACTAAATTCTGCTTAAGATATAAGGAATAAGTATGCAGAATCGGTGGGAGGAAGCAGCGTACAATAGAACGCAATGCAGAAGAATTGTAAACTCAGTTAACAACAACCAAAAAATAAACAGGCATCAAGGTAAGTGCGGAAGAGAGATAACATATCACGTATCGGGATTGTCAGTCACAGAAAAGCTCATGAAAGAAAACGCCTTGCGTAACCATGTTCTGATGCGTAACCATCTTCAAATACTCGTCAGCGAGTAATGGCAGTAGTAGTAGTATTTAATATTTTGATATAATAGGCAATCTGGAATAAAATTGAAAATTGTAAAAAATGTAAAATTGTTTTTTAGCAAATTATCGACAAAAATTTTATATAATTAAATACTTATCCCTTTGTTGGCCACTAGGGAGAAACATACTCTCGAAATGAACGTTTTCCGACTGCAATTTACTCACTTAGCGCCATTAAAATTCGAAGTTTATCAAACAGATTTAATTGCTAACTTTCCTTCTCTCAAGTTTGTGTATTTAAAGTAGCGATAAATTACACTATCTCCATTAACTAATGTGATTATCTTAAAGTTAAATCCTTAAGAAAAAAACGCTCTTTGTTCTACCTTAAACTACTATATATACTAGTACTGGGAACTATCTAATGAATACTATCGAAACATTCGATAGTTGCAATTCATTCGAATAATTCGATAGGTAGTAAGAAAACATTCGTCGAAAACTATTCGAGTAAAAATATCGAATAGATGCGTCATCTGCCTTGAAATATATTAATTCGGCAGCAAAAACCATTCATTTATAAAATTCATTCATTTGTAAAATTCATTTATTCGTCAGGATGGATTATAATAAAATATAAACTGGATTTTAGTTGTCGCCCGGCGACGTAGGTTTCTTTCCTAGAAACCCGACAGCGGTCGGCGGTCGGTGGCAATGGTATGAAAAAAGCCGGCATCTTTGATTTTGAGTCAGATAAAGATAAGGACACATTATTTTTTTTATTGAGGTGCTAGTATTTACACAGAAAATACATTATGAACGGCGCTGTTGCCGTATATTCGTATTAGTTGGTATTAGCAAAGAATATTATTCTTTGGTATTATAGTTAGTTAGGGATAGTATGACCTGTGGTATGACTATATATTTTGCATTTTTTTTATTAATGTCATTCTGTTGTTACACTGCAATAATACTTTTTATTTTGGATGTAGGAAAATGATTTTTAATGTTTTTAAGCAAAACTGGTTTAATAAATAATAATAACAGTAATAATTTGTTATACCTATTAACAGCAAAATTTAAAATCATTTAATATAAACATTTTTTTAAGTAGTAGCAAAATATAAACAACAAATTAGAAGTCAAAATTATTTATATTAGATCCTATTTAAAAATAATATAGTTCCTAAATTTTTTGGCAACGTTGGTTTATTAAATAATAATAATTACAGAACTAAATTGTTATATTAACAACAAATTTTAAAATCATGAAATATAAACATTTATTAATTTTCTAAGCATGCAGTGTAATAGAAGAAAAATATAAATAAAAAATTAGTAATCAAAATTATATATGTTTATTACCTTTTATTACTTTGTATTAGTATTTAAAAATAGTATTTGGTTTTACTGGCATTTACTTTAAAAAATAAATGAAATATTTCTTCGCAAAAATCTACATGTAAGAGAATTAGCATAAACAAAATACAAATATCGTTAACTTTTTTTTTAAATTGGCACGTGTAAAACTTTAATCAATCAATTTAATTTTCTCATCCCAAAATTTGAGTTCGATAACCACATTTACTTAACCACATTACTTAAATATGATTATTAAGTTCAACTAATTCATATTACCAAAACATCTAAAATACAAATACATATGTATTTTTAAAATTAATTGTAAGTTCACCTCATCTCTCTTAAAAATTGTTACTTCTCAAAATTTCCCATTAAAAAAATAGACCATATACCGTATAAAATTAAATAATTGAAAGATCGGAAAATCACACAAATTTTCGGAAAAATTTTGACCACCTGCACACGTACACAATCGTCAATTTAAAAAAAAAACACTACTACTTTAGTATTTTAAACATTTTAATAAACGCAAAAATAGCACAGTATTTAGAAGGCAAGTTATAAAAATTTGGAAGAACTAATAATGCACTGACGCAGACAAAAATCAAACGAATACTAAATTTCATTTATCTAAAGCATTCGATAATCGTGGCTTAACGATAACCATTTAGTCGCACGGCGAGGTTGTCACATATGCTTTAGTATACAAATGAATGAATGATTTTATTCGAATGAAACCATTCGATAGTTGAAATCATTCATTCAGTAACCATTCGATAGTCTAATTCATTCGATAGTTCCCATCGCTAATATATACATACATCGGTCCTAGAAATAAGTGCAAATATTTTATAATTGGTAGTATTATAGTTCGACCCCAGGAACACGGCCATGAGGTTTTTTATTGCTGCAAAAGAAAGTTGAAATTTATATTTTTTCTTGACATTTTACGGAAAATATTGAAAATATTGTAATTAAAAATATTAGATAATGATTAAAACTAAATATTTTTGTGTCACCTTAAAGGAATGCAATGTTTTCGTTTTTTCATATCAGTTTAATATAGTACTATTACATACAAATTAATGATATTTATTTATACTCCCTGTTTAGTTATTTTTTCTGA